AACCCTGAGCCGGTGAGATTTGAACCGCTGAACTGCTGATCTAGCAGTAGCCTGCAGTGCTGCATTTAACCACTGCGCCACCTTGGCTCTAAATTAAGGGCCTTTGGCTCTGAAACCCAAGAAACCAGCTTAAGGCACACAATTTAACTATGGGCATCCCTGTAGTTAATAAAGATTATATGCCTCTCTGACCCATTATAAACAAATTTCACGATTTTACCTGTCACGTAAATTAAGTTGCTCCTGCTTTCGGTTTCATATGGTGGCGGGTCAATCACCTCAATTTTGCACATGTAACTGTCTGTGTGGTTGACTTCCAAGTCCTTCAGGTGAAACACAGCATGTTTTTCTTCTTTTGTAATATTTATGTCCAAGCTTAATTTAGAACCGTTTTCCTTGATTGAAATTGTGGAATTGTTCCAATTGGCTTCAAAAAGTTGTACTTTCCCGACTCCTTTGAACAAGTAGGCATTCAACTTTGTGATGGTTTCTCTGTGAGCTGGAAAGTCACAGGCCAGCTGGGCATTTTGGTGCACTGTTTTGTTTAGGACTCTCTGTTGCTTTGAAATGTTTTCAGCTGTTTGGAGGAGAGAAACATTTTAATAAATAGGCTGGCACAGGGAGCAGAAGAACGCCTTCATCATTTGGGGGGAAACGGGCTCCTTTTCACTGTAATTTCACTGCAAAGCCATCCAGAGTCCCCTTACAGGGCAGGTGGACAGCATAAAAATTTATTAGAAATAAAGAAATAAAAATAAATCCTGTCGAAGAAACTGCTAGAGGAGCAGCCTAGAGGTAAATGTTAGTGTAGGTTAAAATCATGTTATTGAAGACAGACAACAAGGTTGGTGTATTCTACTTGGAATAGGGCATATTTCGTTTGGATTTTTAAAGCTATTTATTTCATATACATTTTTGCACATTTTAAAACTTCATTACAAAGGACTAAAACCATGCAATGTACAGTACGTTAAAAAAAATCACATTAAAATCCATTAGCAAAAAAATATATAATCCATTAACTCAACTATTAAAACCTCGTAAAATAAACGTGTTTTCAATTTCTTGAATAGGCTCATGTACAACTTCAAGGGAAATGAGTTTCATCATCAGTGAACAACAGAGGAAGAAACTCTCCTGCAGTCCAAAAAAGTGGACCTCTGATACAATGGGCCATCCCTGGTTGGCTTCACTTCCACAAGTTCTTAATGGGACAGAGGTGGGTTCCTACCAGTTCGCACCTATTCGGTAGAACTGGTTCGTCAAATCTACCGATCCGGTTAGAAGAGGTTCCACCAGTGGACCCAGAAATCAGGCCACACCTACAGAAGAGGTTCCAAAAATGTTTGAAACCCACCACTGTAATGAGAGCACCAGCCATTACACCTTTAAGGTTATGGCAATAAAGAAAACCTCTTTTTAGTGACTATGTGACACATCACTGCAGGGTTTGGAGCCACAATGCCATACTTTTTTTTGTGTACCTAGTGTGTAGTAGACAACCAGCCTCCATCTTTCAATAGGAGCGTGGAATCTCAGAACCCCTTACTGGTTAAGCAGCCAAGTGCCTTTAAATATAAATTTGCCTAATTTCACAATTTCAGAAGCCTATGCAACCCAAAGCACATGGTTTTTCCAAATGTTCAGTGCATGTCCCCAAACACTGTGGTGCCGTTTACCAATCATAGTCATCTATATTGGGAAAAAATATACTGTATGGGAGCAAGGTTGAATGAAAAGCAAGGTTTGTGTTACTGGTTATCAGGCAGATGAATAGGTTTTTCCAGTCTGGCTTCTTTATTATATTATATATATATATATATATACATATATATACATATATATACATATATA